ATATTTTCCAACAATTGGTATCTTTTTCATTAAATATTTTATTAAGGGAGAGTTTTGCCAAATTTTTTTTCAAATGTTTTGTTATATCAAAAAGGGGGAGATTGTTGAACTATATTTTGATATAACAATTAAGGGAAAAAAATTGTACTTGAATTGAATTTATTCAAAGTTTTTAAAGTTTTTCAAAATAATTCAAAGTCCATTTAACTTGGAATTGAGCACAAAATAATTTTCTAGACAAGCAGTACCGATATTGTTCTTACAGTATCGATACCTCATGAACAATACAAATATTGTTCATATGGTACCGATACCAAAGTTAAGGGAAGTATCGATACTCACTAGGTAGTATCGATACTACCAGCATTGCACAAATTCCATAATATAAAAATTGCACCGATACCCAAAAGCGTTATGATACTACTTTGTATAGTAGTATCGATACCATAGGCATAGTATCGATACCATCAGGCCCCAACGGCTAGTTGATTTAAAAATAAAAAAAGTAATATCGATACTCCCTTTAGGAGTACCAGTACCTTCTGTACTAGGCAGTTTTATTTTGCAGAAATTTCATCCCCAAACGGCTAAAAATCATCCCCTAAAGCTAGAAACGGCCACAACTTCATTCTAACATATAAATACAAGTTCAAGACATTTGAAGAAGAGTTAGAACACCTACCAAGCATTCAAACACAAGAGAAGAGTTTTTCCAATCTTATTTTATCTCTCTTGTAAATATTAGTGTTTTAGTGAACTAAATTTGTAAACACCCTACCTTTGAGAGATTTTATTGTTTACTTCTTTTTACCTTTTGTAAAAGGTGATTGGTTTTATCTTAGTTAAGTGAAAAGATAGGGAGTGTAAAGGTTATCTCTTGATCATTGAAAAAGAATAAACAAATTAGTGAATTTGTTGGAAAATCCTAAGTGAGGAGCTTAGGTAGTGGAAGTAGTTTTGTTTGATAAGTCAAACCACTATAAATCCTTGTGCCAAATTTCTCTATGTTTTACTCTCCTTACTCCCTAAATAAATTATTGCTAATTCACCCTCTTGCAACTTTTTCGGTTGTCAATTCGAGCTTCCGTAAATCCCAATAGACTGTTAACGATGAACGATTAATTTATTATAAATTGATAACATTAATTATCGATTTGTTATAAATCTATAACGTTAGTGACCAATTTGTTAGTTTTGAAACTTCATTTGAGAAAACGAAAACTTACTCAAATATTATTAACAATTTGTATAATTTACCTTTTTTTTATTAAAAATAGATTTTTTTAAATAATTAAAAAATGAATATCGCACATGTCATTTAGTAATTTTTATTATGACATAAATATCTAAAAGTATAAAGGAAAACACCAATTTTAATAAAAAAAAATTTAAACACTTAAAGTTAAATTTAAATATAATTTAAATACTTATTTCTAAATTAAACTTAAACGAAAGAAATTAGTAACGAAGAAATGTTTTCATAACATAGAAGAAGCGTTGAACCTTGTTCTAAAAAGAAGAAAAAAAGAAAAAAAAAATAAGAAGCGTTGAACCTGGATCACGTGCCGCACTAGTTTTAAACTAACCTCCACCAACTAGGGGTGTGCAAAATCGAAAATCAAAAACACATTTATTTTGTTCATTATTTTATTCTATACTAGGAGTATCACTAACAAGAAAAAAAAAATGCAAATGCTATCTTCCTCAAATTCTCCCACCTACCACAACAACTACAGTTGTTCATCCATCTTTACTAGTTTTTCATCGCCGCTTGACGGGCTTCTCCACGTCTTCTCCTTCCTTATATATACTTTCTTCCTTGCCCATAACTCTCTCCCCAAACATGGCTTTAACGACCCAAACCTCTTTCCTTCAAAAATCATTCCCTCCTTATCATTCTTTTTCTCCTCCTCGAAAACTTCGTCCCATTTCTGTCCTCTGCTCCGTAGCTTCCGCCCCGTCTGCGGCCGTGACGGCCTTGAAAGAATGCAAGGTCAAATTGGTCAAGGCTAGGCAGATCATTGACAGCAGGGGTAATCCCACGGTCGAGGTTGATTTGGTCACTGATGATTTTTATTGATCAGCCGTTCCCAGCGGCGCCTCTACTGGGATCTATGAGGCGCTTGAGCTCAGGGATGGTGACAATAGCGTGTATGGCGGCAAAGGTGTGCTCTCTGCCGTCAAAAACATCAATGAAATTTTGGGTCCTAAGCTTATTGGCATTGATGTCAGGTAAAACTTTACACCACCTTTTTCTTAGAAGCAAAATATGCAAATAGCTGAGGTACTCATGCCTAAGGGTTGGAATAAATAACTTTCCCAACTAGCGTTTTCTCTTCTTCTTTTTCTTTATCATTTAAAATGTTTAATTTAAAATTTCTTCATATGTCTATGTTCCTATATGGGTAGGAGATAATATTTTCATGTATAGTGAAGGGTGAAGTTAACCAAGTACTTAAACTCACAGGGAGTGAATAAATTAACTTGACGAGTATCCGATTATGAATCTGGCACAAGTATGTTCAATTTTTTCTATGTATCGTTTTGCTCAATCCTGTACCTATGTATGAGTGTGTGTGTGTGTGTATGGATGATTATATTTTTAAGTAAAATGAGACGCTCTGCATATTATATAGCAGCCAGGCTTGTGTTAAACACTAATGTGACTATGGTCTTTGATTCAATTAATGGATCAATGGGTTCAAATAATTAGCATGCATGAGAAAATATGGCATGGTTGATTGCTGGGATTGCTATTCACATAAACTAACAATATTTTTTTTTTCATTTGTAATGCATCATATTTTTCTTACTGTGTATGACAGGTTAACCAGATTGGGACAGTGACTGAATCTATCCAAGCTGCACTTGACTCTAAAGCTGCAGGATGGGGAGTGATGGTCAGCCACCGAAGTGGTGAAACAGAAGACAACTTCATCGCTGACCTTTCTGTTGGTTTAGCTAGCGGTCAGGTACATCATTTGAAGTCGCTAATCCGTGATTGCAATTAATCAGCAATAAGTTTTTGTTATTTTTTTTTGTCCTAGAAGGTGAGTGATGGTATTCTTTTTTGTATAGATCAAGACTGGAGCTCCGTGCAGAAGTGAGAGGCTGGCCAAATACACTACAGCAAAATGGGTTTATAGCGGCATTTGCAAAAAACCTAACTTTAGAGGCGTTTGTATACAAACGCCGCAATAGATCTTACTTTAGTGGCGTTTGTAAACGCTGCTAAAGATTAGTATTGTAGTGGCGTTTTTATACAAACGCCGGTAAAGAATCGTTCTTTAGGGGCGTTTTTATACAAACGCCGCTAAAGACTCGTACTTTAGTGGCGTTTTTATAAAAGCGCTGCTATAACTCATACTTTACTGGCGTTTTTATAAAAATGCTGCTATAACTCATACTTTAGTGGCGTTTTTGTTTACAAACGCCGCTATAGACTCGTACTTTAGTGGCGTTTTTGTTTACAAACGTCGCTATAGACTTGTACTTTAGTGGCGTTTTTATACAAACGCCGCAAAAGACTCGTACTTTAGTGGCGTTTGTACCGCAAATTTACAGTTTTAAGACCCCTTTAACCCTTTTTCATTTTTTTCCCTTCACCTATTTTTTCATTCCCGCCGTTTGCTCAAACCCATCTGCTGCTTCTTCTCCAATGGGGGGCTCTTCTTCTCAACGCTTCGTTCAAACAAATTCTCACTACAAAAAAGGTTGCAAATGCAAAGTTGTCTTCAGTCTAGAACTGTTTGGCATGACGTTATCGAAAAACATTGCCCCATTTTTGTTGTTAATCGCGAGGTATTTTTCTTCTTCTTCTTCCACCTCAATTTTTTGTGATGATTTGCATATAAATAAGGTACCTTTCTATTTTCCTTTTTAGTCTAGGAATTCTTCGAAGTTCTTTAAAAATATATTGCTACCCACATGGGATTGGTTCCAAAAGGGAAACCCAGAATCGTAGGTCTCAAAAAGCAACAATAGTTATACCAATGTCAAACATGGATTCAAAATTGGGTTTAATCCAACAATCTTTCAACTCCCGTTATTTCGAATGGGTCTGGGAACCTCTTGACGAATTGTCCGACAATTTCACCATCGCGAATCCTTCGATTTCAGGCCACCCAATCGTTTTTGCAAGCCGAAACTTCTTGAAAATGTTGGGTTATTCCCAGGAAGAAGTAATCTTTCAAAATGAGAATATATTTCAGGGTCCCAAAACTAATGGGAGGGCGGTGATGGAGACAAGAGAAGCGAATCGAGAAGAGAGGGGTATTCAAATGAATTTGGTGAATTACCGTAAAGACGGGATGCCATTTTGGATGTTGTTCCATATGAGTCTCGTTTTTGGGAAAGAAGATTGGAGGGTGATTCATTTTGTGGCTGTTCAGGTCCCGATAACAAGGCGGAAAAGGGGGAATGGAGGGGTAAGCTTGAGTGAGGAGGCCTCTAGCTAGCTTGAATGAGATTATGTTCGGCTGTTGTAGGAAGAAAGTGGATACCAATTATGTGCTTGAATTGGGTCGTGTTTTGTCCTCGGATTCGAGTAATAATGGTTCGTTTTCTCAACTTCAGCTTTTATATTGTAGCCATTATTGAATGATCAATTGTAGTACTAACTAAATATTTTCATTCTTTATGCTTTTACTAGTATATTTGTTATCAACTATTCATGTAATGTGGCAACATGTTCATAAATAGCAGGTATAACAAGTATGTTGAGTGTCATTATCAAATGCAATTCACAATTTTATTTCAAGTCACTTCTTTGACCTTCTGGATTGAGTTTTGGTTATATGCTACTTGATGTTTCACTCTTTGTTTCGATGATAATAATTGACACTATGTTATCATCTTTCATTGCAGTTGGATTTAGTTGTTTTGAGTTCTCAACTAACTGTATTTTACAGTATTAAATGTTGAAGAAACATGCGAGGCAAGCGATTTCGAGAAGCGAATGGCAGCGAATGTATTTAACAGCATCTTGTCCGTGCTAACCCACTATAGTGAGTCAACTGGCAGATTGGTCTACGGGAATAGATGCAGTGTGCCTGGGGTAGGCTACATCAGTTCATCACTAAATATATCACTTGGTAGAATCAAACAGAGCTTTGTACTGTGAGTTTGCAAAATTCTTTATTTTCAATTTTATAATGATAACCAACTTTAGCAAGGATTTCTGATGTCTCTTACAAGAACTACACGGTGGGTGGTTCCCTCGGCTGGTTCGACACCTTTGAAAAGCATGATGTCAATTACCAAAAATGGGCGGATTCCAACAACTTCAGCTTGGGTGATTTCCTCAGTAAGTCATTTGATGGGGTTTGGCTTTCACTTCCTTCTTCTTCTTATTATTATCATAAGGAAAAATTTAAATTATCAGCGTAGGAGAAGTAGAATTATCCATTGAACTTTGATGGGGTTTGACTTTGACTTTTATTGTTTCTATTTACCCATATATCAAAATTTGTTGATTTCATTGTTTTATACTAACTTCATTTGATTTTTAAATGGGACACCATCTCCATGAGATTATAATAAACCAATTTCACCCTTAAATTAATCATATTTAAGAGAACCCGGGATTATTTTAGGAATGGTGTCTTGTTTGGGGAAAATCTAAAAAATGAACATCTAATAATAAAAATATAATCTAAAATGTTATTTTTTATAATATTTTCAGTTGAATATAAAATATTGTTTTTTATAACATTTTTAGTTGGTAACATAAAATGTTATCTTTTTCGTAATATTTTTATTTAACCGAAAATATTAAGAAGAATGTAACATTTTAGGTTGTTATGATTTTTGATAATATTTTCGATCGTGTCATTCATAATTTTTAACATTAAATTATTAGGTTGTACTGCAAAATTACTCTCTTGTTTGAGCTATCGTCGGCTTTGCTTCTAAAATAGATTAACTTGACGCATCTAAGTTCAATAGTGTATGTTACCATATCTAATCTGGATTTTAATTACTTGGGTTATTTTACTTTGATCTTAGGTTCAACCTTGTGTTGGTGTTTGGAGTAATAAATGCACATCAAAGTATGGAATAAGACGGCCTTTTATCCTTGCTGGATCACTCATGATCTCTGTTGTTGTAAGCATTGAAGTCTTACATGATTCATTCTTATATAATATGTTTCTGTGTTTTATATCTGCTAAACTGAGTTTTGCATTAGGTGATAGTAATCGGGTTTTCTGCAGATGTTGGATACATTTTAGGTGATACAAGAGAGCATTGCAGGTATTCATTCCTGCTTTGATTTCTTCTCAGCTCTTGAACTATGGCGGCGTTTTATATCTGCTAATCTGGATTTTAATTATTTGGGTTATTGTACTTTGATCTTAGGTTCAACCTTGTGTTGGTGTTTGGAGTGATAAATGCACATCAAAGTATGGAAGGAGACGGCCTTTTATCCTTGATGGATCACTCATGATCTCTGTTGCTGTAAGCATTGAAGTCTTACATGATTCGTTCTTATATACTAGGTTTCTGTGTTTTATATATGCTAAATTGAGTTTTGCATTAGGTGATAGTAACCGGGTTTTCTGCAGATGTTGGATACATTTTAGGTGATACAACAGAGCATTGCATGTATTCATTCCTGCTTTGATTTCTTCTTAGCTCTTATAGTCCCTCCCCCACTCTCCCAAAAAAAAAGGAAAAATTTGAATGATATTTTCTAACAGGGGCGGCTTTTGTCTTTGTTATTGGATTCTGGATGTTGGATCTTGCCAACAATACAGTGCGGGTAAGCCTTCCATGGTGATTTGTTCTTCCTTTCAAGTTTGTCGTTGTATGTTTGTGTGGATAACGAATTTTCATTTTCTTAGGGACCAGCTTGTGCCCTTCTGGCAGATCTATCAGGTGAACTTCTTTCTTAAGAAATACGGAGAATTTCTAGTCTTTACATGGTAACATTATGATGTTAGTTTTTATGTGTGCTTTAATATCATGCATGTCAAAATTCTGTATGATAGGTCCTGATCAGCACAATTCTTCTAAAGTTATATGTTGTTTATGGATGGTTGTTGGAAACATCTTGGGATTTTCAGCTGGTGCTAGTGGGAGTTGGCATAGGTAAAAAGATTTTCATATGTTTTTAATGTGATAAAATGAACAATTATGGAGACAAGTTATTTGTTTCATCTTATACTGTATTTGAATATTGATCTAATTCTTATAAATGATATTGATGTAGATGGTTTCCTTTCTTGTAAAGTAGAGCTTGCTATGAAGGCTGTGCCAATCTTAAAGCAACATTTCTTGACACAGGAACAGTGCGGAAAATGGCCTTGAAAATGGTTGCAGACAAAGAAAAATGGGAGGAGTTGCAGAAGTTGAATCTCCAAAAAAATTTGGAATAGCTTTTAGGCCAGGAATCCAGCCAAATGGCATTTGTAGCTTATATTATATGTATACTAATTTATTTTTCTTTCCATATGTGGACTTGAACTCAATACTAAAAAACGCCGTTAAAACTCTATTTTCCTGTAGTGTTATTTTGTTGTTAAGAATTTTTCTTTATGTTTTTTGTCTTAATTAAAATGTATGGTTGTTGTTAATTAGATAAAGCTAGATATAAATTTAGGTGATGTATAGCAGAAATGAAATATGCAAAATCAATTAATATTAGCTAAATAAAGGTAATTAGCGGCGTTTGTATCCAAAAACGCCGCTATAAGTCTGACTTTTTGCAGCGTTTGTGTTCAAAAACGCCGTTATAGGTCTGACATTTTGCGGCGTTTGTGTTCAAAAATGCCGTTATAGGTCTGACATTTTGCGGCGTTTGTGTCCAAAAACGCCACTATAGGTCTGACTTTTTACGACGTTTGTTCTAAACACGCTAGTATAGGTCTTATCTTTTGCGGCGTTTTCTAGGAAAAACGCCGCTATAGATCTGACCTTTTGCGGCGTTTTTCCTAGAAAAGCCGCTATATATCATAACTTTTTACGGCGTTTATTCCAAAAACGCCGCTATAGATATCGACCTTTTGCGGCGTTTGTTCAAAAAATGCCGTAATAGATATTGACCTATTGCGGCGTTTTTTGTTCTCAAACGTCGCTAACTTTAGCGGCGCTGGTATTGCCGACGCTTCTTGTGGCGTTTTTCCTATTGCCGCAAATACTTTTAACGGCGCTTAAAAACGACGCTATAAGACTAAAAAAACGCCGCTAAAACTCTGTTTTGCTGTAGTGATACAACCAGATAATATTTGTGCTTTTCTTCTCCTCAGTTCATATTTCTCAGACTTCATTTTTCAAGTGTCAACGCATTTTTGGGTATTGGATACCTTCCAATGACGCCCAAGTGCATGAAAAAACTTGGAAAAATTTAGGGTAAACTACACAAATGGTCCCTCAACTATAGGACATTTCTTTGTTGAATCCGACTATTAAAAGTTACAAAATGCTCCCCTCTTTGACTATAAGGTGTTGTTTTGTTGGGTTTTTCGACTATTAAAAGTTACAAAATACCACCCGACTATTTATATGTTCCAAACTCGTCATTTTTGGTCAAAAGTTATCGGTAATCTGAACTGCATATTAGTCTGTTGACTGAGATATGATGAAATATGTTCCCATAATCTCAAAGGAGTATCACATCCTAGTTAACATATTAACTTACAACTCATACTGCAGTCAAATTTTCAACAAAAAAGGACGAGTTAGGAATATATGAATAGTCGGATGATTATTTTGTAACTTTTAATAATTGAGGGATTTAACAAAGCAATGCCTTATAGGCAAATGATCATTTTGTAACTTTAGCAGAATCCTATAGTCAAGAGACTATTTGTGCTCTATCCAAAAATTTAATATACTTGTGCTGGGCATATACCCCATACTCAACACTAATCCATGTGCTCTTATTTTGCTTGATTGTTAATTAGTTTGCAAAGAATCATCTCACTTTGTCCAACTCTTCTTGCAGCTTCTTCGCATCGAAGAGGAACTCGGAAATGTCCGCTATGCTGGTGAAGCATTCAGATCCCCTTAAGAGGAGTTTTACCAAATTGGTGTAGAGAAAAGTTTTTACAAGCTCTGGTAAACCGAGGCTAATAGAAAATTTTCAAGAACTCTGAGCTTTTCAAAGAAAAAAAAGACGGAATAATTTGATGTAGTAGTAGAACCAAATGTTATGAAGTTTGAGCTTATGGGATCTGAATAATTGAGGTTTTGCTCCAAGTGATATCCGGAGTGTTAAATGTGATTGTGTGTAATTCTGCTGATCTTTTGTAACCAGGTTTGTCATTGTCCGGACTGTTGAAAATCAGTATCTGTGGGAGTCTATATCTTTTAGAAGACACTGCTTGAAGCCCTGTTGTAGTATGATCTAAATCATGCTAATATTCGGTTTAAAATCGATTAATTACTGAAATAATTGGAATATATATATATATTAAACTCAAACCTATTAAAAATCAGGATTAATTATTATTTTTAATAATACTATACCCATTAAACATTGAAGATCCAATCCAATTTTTAAATGAAAAAAAATATATCTATTAAAATTAAATTAATTTAACTAAAATTTACAACAAATTTTGGCTCATTTAAAAGTTGACCGATTCAGTTGAATTTTGTTCAATTTAGTTAATAAAGTTTTTAAAAATGAGTTCAATTAATAATTAAAGAAAATTTTCATTAATTAGATTAATTCAATTCTTTCAGTGATTCATTTAATCGTTTAAACATTCTTAATAATACGAGCTAATATAAAAGATTTTCATAAGTCAAATTTTATGATAAACAAAAATTTTAAAAAATCGTCTTTTATGGTTGTTTCTCAAGCTCTCTACGAATTCTATTCTCAGTGCCTCAACTTTACTCGCAATTCTATATTCATCAGCCTAAAAAATAGGAAAAATTATAACATTGGCCATTTAACTATTTAGCTCTTTTACTTCAACTATCGGTCTTTCAATTTCGTCAATCAAACCACCTAACTATTTAATTATATCTAATCGAGCCACTTGTCGTTACATTTAACGAAAAAATTGATGTAACAATTAACAAAATTAGTATAATTATATTTTGTTCCTTAATACTTATACATTTTATTGATTTGATATTAATTTTAATTTAATTTAATAAATTTAATTTTCTAACCATTTTATGATATGCGTCACAACATAACTTGAGGGTATTTTATTAATTTAAATTTTTTATTTTATTTTTCACCCAATCAGATGATGATATCTATCACCATCATATTAGATAGAGAATTAATAGAAGAAACAATATAAAGGTGAGAGTAGGGATGGGCATGGGTCGAGTCGGGTTTCCTGTCGACTCGAAAATTATAAACCCTCCACCTAACCTGAACTCAACCCGAAAATTATACACCCTCCACCTGATCCGAACTTAACCAGACCCGATATAATATATTTATAAAAAATATTACTTTTATTTAATAAAAAAATAAGAATTTAATTGAAAAATTATATATATAAAAGGGTCTTATTGCAATTATCTTTAAATATATAAGGTAAAATTACACTTTTTTTTGGATCAGGTCGAATCATATATTTTTCACCCTAAACTTGAACCCGACCAAACCCGAACATAATTTCTAAGATAAACTTGACTTGACCCCACCTAAATCTAAATTTTTTTCAAAAAAATTGACCCGAAAAGATCATATAAAGTGGAGACCCGATACCCGTTAGGATTGGGTCTCGTGCCCATCCCTAGGTGACCGGGATGGGACTAAAACTTGAGCCACTTAGAGGATATATTATTGTCTAAACCACTAAACTAGAACCTTTACTTGATTTTGAAATGTATAATTTAAAATATAACATATTATATTGAATGTAAAAAAAAAAGTAAACATGAAAAATTAATATAAGCAAATTATGGCTTGGAAGGCTAGGACTCAAACCTAGACCCATTGAGAGATATTTTAACAACTAAATTACTAAGACTGACCCCTTAACTGGTCTTCATCAATTTAAATATAACATAATGTTACTAATTGGAGAAAAAAGGAAGTAATATTTTTAACTTTTTTTATTAATAATTTCATATATATATATATATAAGTCAATTTATTTTTATTAAAAATATATAAAATTATTTAATAAAGTTAACTACAATTTATATATAATCATTAAATTAAATTTTTGAATAAACTACACAAGTATCTACCTAAATATTGCTCTCTTTCAATTTGACCATCACTATTTTGACTTTGTCAATCACACCACTTAATTATTTAAATACTTCAATCAAGCCACTTATTGTTAACTTTTAATAGAGCAGGTGACGAGACAGTTAAAAACTTGATATAATTACATATTTGGTCCTTAATATTTATGCATTCTATTAATTTGATCATATTTTTAATTTAATCACTAAGCCAATATCTTACTTGGTATAGATTTAAAACATTTTCTATATAACCTATTCTAACTAATGGAATAGAAAAATGAAAAATAAAAAGATTATCCACCAAGCCAAAGCAAATAAGTGACTCAAATTTATACATTATATATAATCATAAAAATGTATATTTTTATACTAAAAAATGAGATTAATTTTTATATTTTATTTTTATAATTATATATAATTATTAAATTGACTTAAATTTAAATAATAATTTTATTTTTTTATTAAAAATAAAATAATAAATTCAATTACTAATTAACTTTAAAAAATTCCATTTAATTTTTTTTAGTATCGTTATTTAATACAAATTTGACTATTTAATAAAAATTATTAATTAAGGTAAATTAAAGTCATGCTCACTTAACTATTTTTAATATTTTTAATAAAAAATTAAATGAAATCTTTCATAATAACATTACTCATGTGAGTGTAATATTATATTCAATTTTAGTGGATGTTTGTAACTTTAAAAATGCTCGTTTGTTTTGAACGCAATCTCAATTACTTTAGTTTAAAGATATTTATTTTAAGGTGATTTTCTATAAAAATAAAGTTTATTTTGGTTCATTCACGGTCTAGTTTTGGTAAATTCTAATCTCACTAATGTTTAAAGAGGACCAATTGGAAATAGACATGTGCGGTTCACATTACATGTAATTTCCATGCTATGCTCCACGATGGATATATGTTATTTGAATGTGTTTGTATACGTGACCATTGATGAGTCTAGTCATGATTGAAACGGTAAAGGCCGCTTTGATCGTATATAGATATGGTTGGTGGACAAAATTGTTATAAAATACCTATTGCATAATAATAAATTTTGAGCTCATAAGGTTATACATTTATTATGAAACATATGTTACCTAAGTGAGAGATTGTTGGATTAAAATCTATAATTATGGGCATATATTTATAATATATATTGTTATCATAAAATATGACATAAATTAAGTGATCAATTATTTTGTTAAGTCATAAGGTATTAGAAGTGTCATAGAAATAAAAGTGTAGATACTATTAAAGTTGTATTTACAATTTGATGAAAGACATAGTTCTAAGTACCGACAATAACTGATTATTAAATCAACTATATAAAGGGATTATGGTTACCAAGAAATAATTCATTTCGTATTTTTCCTTATCCCGTTAGAGAGTTTATCATCAACAAAATTTTATCTACTTGAAAGATCACAACCAAAAAAATATTTAAGGATTTCAACTTATCAATTAATTAAAATATGCTTCTGCATCTAGTATTTTATTTTGGTTAATTTGACATGATTAGATCCGGGTTAATTTTAATATTTATTATGATTTGCTTCTAACCCCTTGACAGTCGAACTTTATTCTATATTCGTTCTATGAAAGATTATATCCAGTTTCATCAATATTACCAACATAATATTCGGCAATGAAGGTTGGTATTCTGTTCATAGGGCCTCCATCGTAAAACGAAGTCCTACCAAACTTGTTCAAAAGCCGGCTTCAACTAAAACTGCTACCTCATCATCTAGGGGACAAAGTTCTATAACTCCAGCCATTCTTTAGGTATGAATGACATTTCTTTGTCCCCATTTTGTTTTGCTAAAAAATAAATTCTGTGAAAGAATTTTCATTCATCATATACTAACTAATGTTCACTGTTAACTAACTACAGATGGCTATAGCAGCACCTGGTGTGAGTACATTAGTTACTAGTTGACTCTCACTTCTAGAGAGAGACACGAGATCTTAGACAAACTTTTAAAATTATAAGAGGGATAAACTTATAAAATTTTAGGGACGAAATCATATTATCAATCGAAAATACAAAAGAATATCTAAAATAGATATCAATTTGAAATTTTCAGAAGGGTAACTGGCTCCACCCACCCCAATCGGTTCATTCCTGCTAGTGCTCACCTCCCTTCATGGATAGTGGGTTTGCCCTTCATTCCAGAAGTTCGATGGCAGCTTTGGTCATCTCGGGCTTTATTGCACTACTCAAAGCGCAACTTGGTCCCCTGCTGCCATTAGATCAGCAATCGTTACAATAGGTATGTGTCTGTCTATTAACTTTCATAATAACTAAACCATATAGAACTTAAAGTTTTGCACTAATCTGTACACAAAAACCCTCATTTTATGAACTAATAACATACTAAAATTTGCAGCTTGGAGGATTGATCCATTTGGATAACATATCATAGCCGAGGGATCACCTCGTAAATTAGCTGATCCGTTTGATTTCGAACGGTGGCCTAGTGAGCCCCAACAGAGCAGAAAAACCTGGTCTTCAACGTTACATGGATACTTATAATACATGATTTCATGTTGGGGACGAATCAGTGGTGGATCTAGATATATTTTGATGGTGGACACACATATGTTAATCATATAAAATTTTTGAATAGGGTTGGACAAAAATAAAATTTCAGGCTAGACACATCAATAAAAATAAGTAACTAACCAAAGAAAAATTAAATTTTAGGGTGTGGGTAGGTGTCTACCCTCATGAACATGTGCATTCGCTACTGTGGCGATCTTATAAGATTTTAAGGATGGAACTTATAAAGTTTTAAGGACGAAAACATATTATTAATAAAAAATACAAATGACATACCCACATATATGAGAATTTGAATTTTTCGGGGACACTCGATCCATCCTTGGCTGTAGGTTACCGTGACTTCGCCATGTCACTGGTTGTGGGACTAACCATTGCATGCGTGACTGTCAAACCCTCCGTTCTGGATGTAACTTCTCGTCTGTCACCATTCCAAACCTCAGAAACTCCATTTTTCTGACAAGAAGAGTAACTAATGCTGGTCCTCCCAACTTCAAATACAATGTTTTGATTTTCAACTCCACATAGCCAAAACGTCTCATTTAAAGTTACAGTCTCCAACTCCCACAAAGTAATTACAGGATACTATTTGGCCCCCAACATGGACAGACCATCTTCTTATTTCTTTTTGAGATACAAGTTGGATCACTATCCGACAAATCATGATTGTTTTGTATGGCTCAATTGCATCTGTATCTTTCCTTAAAGGAATGCTTTTTCTTTTTCCTTTTAAAAAATGATAACACTAGAGAAACGTGGATATAAAAGCAAAAGCTAAAGCACCACTTTGAAAATTATGAAATTGGATTAAGAAAGGTTCTAAAATGGAGGTGGATAGGGTCTACATCATTAGCGAGAGTCCAACTTTCACTCATTCTTGGACCATTCATTGGAAGACTAGCAAATACTTTAATAATACAGATTTCTGAAATCTGTAATTTAGTAATCAAAATTATTGTCAGTCCGACCTGGATTAGTTTATTCAGTTCATGTAGACATTCAAGATTAACCTTTTTCTTTGCATAAAAAAGAAAAACAAAAGTGATTTCCCTTCGTGTGCATGAACCAAATATACTGTGATATAATTGAAAGCATAACCGAGTGAGTTCTGGCCTACAGTAGCAGCAGCAACTTTGACTAAAAGGAAAAGATAAAGGAAAAGGTTGAGGAAGCGATCATTTTAACCTCTCAGGAAAGTTTTCCATTTTTTTAAAAAAAAGAAAGCAAGATAATTTCCAACATTTTTAGGAAAGTAAATAGAAAATAAGTTATGTTCCTTCACATGCTGTTCATGATTCCCAGTTCATTATAAAGTAATTCTTGCCCACGATCACGTGTGTATATATTCTTGCATTTCTAGTGATTGATTGTTGAGTTAATTACGTCCAATGTCCCCAGACTATGACCCTCATTTTAAATTAATCCTTAAACTTTTCAATATTCCATTTTCCCCTCAAACTTTGACTCTCATTCTAAACTAGCCATTCAAGTTTTGAATATTCTAATTTCATTCTAAGCTCTGACACTCAAGTCTAAATTGGTCCCCAAACTTTTGAATCTTCATATTCATCCCCAGATTCATCCAATATGTAATTAGTTTCAACTATAGTTTAACCTAAATTTTCTTGAAACATATAATGATATAACTTGGCCTAAAGATTCTATTAACAAGGGACGTGATTTTAGTATATACATATAGTTTGGGATAAAATTGGAATATTTAAAAAGTCTGATTAACAATTTAGAATGAAGGTCATAGTTTGGGGATGAAATTGAAATGTTCAAAAATTTGAGGACTAATTTAGAATGATAGTCATATCTTAGGGATGAAATAGAAACATTTAAAAGTTTAGAGTCCAATTCAAAACGAGAGTCATACTTTGAGGACATGTAAGCAATTAGCTCTTGATTTTTTTAAAGCATAAAGATTGAAAGTGTGGTCTAAAAAGTATGTTCCCCACTCCCCCTTTGTGCTGTTGAAGCTTTTCTAAAGGATATAGAGATTACTGAATTGTTTCCATGAAAAGTCCTACGAATAAGCCTATGTTCTAATGTTTGAAAATCCCAGAACTGAAAACTCTTTACATTTATTACTTGTAAGATCAGATGATGTATACCAAATTAAACTTGTTTGTTGTTCTCACTCTTGTCTCAATTCAATCTCATCTTTATTTTATTGAGGCTGCCACGGGTAATGTAAGTGTATCAATAGATCATTGTTTTGTTTTTTGCTTAATTTTGATGTTGTGCACACAAATGGAAATGTCACAGGTGTATATTGTATACATGGGAGAAAAAAAGAATGAAGATCCAGCTATAACCAAAATGTCTCACTACAAAATGCTGTCCAACTTGTTTGGAAGGTACTATAATTTTACAGTTGCTCTAAATTTCAATGAAGAAAACAACACAATCTTTGGAATTTGAATTTCAGCAAGGAAGCAGCAAAAAGTTCAATGCTTTATAGCTACAAACATGGCTTTTCCGGGTTTGCAGCGAGGATGACAGAATCTCAGGCAAAGGAAATTGAAGGTGATATAATTCCATGAAACAAATTGGATTGGCTGCTTTTGCATAACCTCCAATACATTTTCATTTGCGAATTGCAGCATTTCCCGGTGTAATCCAAGTGATACCGAATCACATTCGCAAGCTTCATACAACCCGAAGCTGGGAATTCATGGGGCTAAATGACCATTCTTCAGAAAATCTTTTAAGTAGAAGCAACATGGGTGAAGGAATAATCATTGGTGTAATAGACTCAGGTAATAAATCTCTGCACTGTTGGAGGCTCAACATAAATGCTGATGAATTTGGGAACCATGCTTGCAGGAGTGTGGCCAGAATCCGGGAGTTTCAATGATAAGGGCATGAATCCAATTCCGTCTCATTGGAAAGGAATATGCCAAGGGGGAGAGCTTTTCAACTCCTCAAACTGTAACAATAAACTTATCGGAGCTCGCTGGTTCATCAAAGGTATTTTGGATCAAAACCAAAAGGCGATTAATACAAGTAATGGGGAGGATATTCTCTCAGCAAGAGATAGCTTAGGGCATGGCACTCATACAGCTTCCACAGCAGCTGGTAATTTTGTAGAGAACGTAAACTACGAAGGACTAGCTGATGGTTTGGCCAGGGGAGGGGCTCCAAGAGCTCACTTGGCAGTTTACAAGGTTTGTTGGTCTTTTGGATCTGGAGGGTGTACTGATGCGGATCTTCTCAAAGCATTTGACAAAGCCATACAAGATGGAGTCGATATTCTATCGGTGTCCATCGGCAATTCTATACCTTTGTTCTCATTTCTAGATCATCGTAATTCGATTGCAATCGGTTCCTTCCATGCCACTTCTAAGGGAATTACAGTAGTTTGCTCAGCAGGGAATGATGGTCCTACTGCAATGACAGTTGAAAACACTGCTCCCTGGATTATTACCGTTTCTGCTACTACCATGGACAGGGTCTTCCTGACAGCAATCACACTAGGAAATAACCAGACCCTATGGGTAAATTGTCATATATATCCTGATTATTCAAAAATTGCAATCCTTTTTTTTCCATTAAAATCATAATGTCTTGCAGGGGCAATCTGTTGACACTAGAATACATAACCATGGATTCACTAGAATCACATTCTCCGATCGTATTGCCTTAAACAACAGCGATGATTCAGCGTCAGGCTTCACTTTTTCTGAATATGTCGAATGATTTTTGATGTATATATTCCTTTTCTTACATCCTGTGTGACACATTCATATATATATATATATATGCATTCATTGTCTTCCAGCATGTGGTGCAAGCGAGGAAGTCTCAATGCCACATTAGCAGCAGGGAAGATCATACTTTGTTTTTCACAATCAAGAACACATAACATATATAGTGCTGCGATTTCCGTGGCGGAAGCAGGAGGGGTAGGGCTTATTTTTGCGCAGTATAGCACCGATGGGCTTGGCTCATGCCAATTTATACCATGCATTAAAGTAGATTATGAAGTAGGGACTCAGATGCTTTCCTACATAAGAAACGCAAGGTAGTAGATAAATTAAGAAGAAAGATAATAGCAGTCTCAACATTTAAAGTCCTTCACCTTTTCTTCATCCCTCTGTTAAGGTCTCCAACTGCAAAGCTTAGTATGCCGAAGACGGTCATTGGGAAATGGCTATCTCCAAAAGTGGCAGATTTCTCAGCCAGAGGGCCTAGTTCAATTTCCCCAGCAGTTCTGAAGGTAAATCTAACAAGCTATATATACAATTCCCAAGGGAAATAATAGAGAAATATCCTTAACCAATCATTCTAATGTCATGGTATGTAGCCCGACATAGCCGCGCCAGGAGTGGACATCGTAGCCGCATATATACCGTTTGGCGCAGAACAAACCACTGGTTATGCACTAATGTCAGGAACTTCAATGTCTTGTCCTCATGTTGCAGGCATAACAGCTCTAATCAAATCAGTACATAAGAACTGGTCTCCAGCAGCTATTAGATCAGCTCTGGTCACCACAGGTAAATCAATTCAACTTCCAAGAGTGACATTGCTTCATTCAAAATTGAAGTCACCACAATGTTTTATTCCCCAAAACTGCAGCCTCCCAGACAGGAAGAGACGGATCATATATAGCAGAGGAGGGTTCAACTCGAAAGGCAGCTGACCCTTTTGACATTGGCGGGGGACTAGTAAATCCGAATAGAGCAACCGACCCGGGGCTCGTATATGACACCGAAACAGACGATTACGTCAAGTTCCTTTGCGGCACTGGCTTCAGCAGCAAGTCAGTGAGTGGTTTAACCAAAACCAATGCTAATTGCACCAAAGATAGGTTTAATGAGTTGAACCTCAACCTCCCATCCATCACTATCCCATACCTCAGAAGGAAAACTACAGTGACCCGAAAGGTAACGAACGTGGGCGCCGTTGATTCGGTGTATACATCCATGGTGCAAGCTCCACAAGGCGTGAAGATAAAGGTAGAGCCTCGGACATTGAGGTTCAATGAAACCACCAAAATTCTGTCATTCAGAGTTACCTTCTTATCGACTGGGAAAGTGTATGGGGATTATAGATTTGGGAGCCTGATTTGGAGAGATCCCAACCATATTGTCAGAATTCCTGTATCGGTACGAGTTAGTTTTGTTTAACTCGTAGCAGGATGTTTACGATTTTAAGATACTGAATTATATATTAAGGGTAAACTATATCAGTGACTGCCTAATTATAATCTCTTTTCATTTTGACCACAATTTTTTTAATTCTAGTCAATCAGAGCACCTAATCATTTAAATGCATTCAATTAGAGCGCTTGTCATTAATAATTACCGGAAGTGATGACGTGACAGTTAGTAAAATTGATATAATTACATATTTGGTCACTCTTACTTATATATTCTATTAATTTTATTTTAATTTAATAAATTAAAATAAAATTAATCTTCTAATGGGGTGTTACAATGTGTCACCATTCAATTTGATGATTTAATTTAACATATTTACTTTGTACCAATCAGAGGGTGACACATGTCACCCCTCTAGTGAAAAGAAAATAACGAACCCATGTCACTTGGATAAAAGGAAACCACTCGGCCAAGCTAAATGTTTAGTTTAAAATAAACTACATACAATATATATCTTATATGTAAGGCAAAAATAAATTAAAACTTATTGTTTGGAATCAAACCCAAGCTAACATTGAAAAATAAATTTTACATTTATCTTAAATTTATATATTAAATTTAATTCAGACTTAACATTAATATATATATATATATATATCTTAAATTCATATATTTAAAATATAAATTTATTTATATAAATTTTATTTATATATTAAATTTAATTCACATTTTTATATATTTAAAATATATTTAAATATATTTTATCTTAACATTAAAAATAAAAAAAATAAAAAAATATTTTATTTTATATATATTTAAAATATAATGAAAAATATATTTTTATTTTTATACATTTAAAATATATGGAAAATATATTTTTATTTTTATATATTTAAATATATTTTATCTTAGAATTAAAAATTAAAAATATATTTTAAATATATGAATTTATATTAAAAATATATATTTTGATGTTAAGACGTGAATTAAATTTAATATATGAATTTAAGATAAAAATAAAATTTATTTTTCAATGTAAACTTGGGTTCGACTTTAATTTTCTTGGCCTTAAATATAAGATATATATTTTATGTAGTCTGGAACAAAACAACTAGCTTGGTTGAGTGGTATGTCTTCCTTCTTATCCAATTGACATGGGTTTGATTCCCTTGTTCCCCTAGTACAAAATAAATATATTAACTTAAATTAAATTAAATAATCAAATTTAATGGTGACACATGACAACATCACATTAAAAGATTAATTTTATTTTAATTTATTAAAATTAGGATTAATTGATAGAATATATAAGTAAGAGTGACCAAATATGTAATTATACTAATTTTACTAACTGTTACATCAGCACTTCCGTTAACTGTTAACGTTAAGTAGCCTGATTGAATGCATTTAAATAGGTGGGTGGTCTGATTAACAAGAATTAAAAAATAGTGGTCAAAATGAAAAGGGGTTATAGTTGAGTGATCACTTGTATAGTTTACCCTTATATTAAAATAATCGTTTTGATCAATAAACTTTTATAAATTACGAGATTATTATTAAATTTATCAAAATGTTATAAAATGATCATTAAATTATATTCGACTATTATAAAATATAAAATTTTAATTTTAAAATGTGTTTTTGGTTTGCTGAGGAATCCAATTACAAAATCAAGTGAATCTTACACACACTTTTATAAGTTGGCTAAAATACACCATTTTACACTAAATTTTACTCTCTCCTATTTTATTTATTGTACTTTCAATTTTTCTAATTTACTCATTCAACTTTTAAATTTCTCCTGTTTTGATCACTTTGAATTATTTTATTATTTTTTGTATGATATGACATATTTTTATTTAATATAAAAATAATTTAAAATATAAAATAAAAACAGAAGTTGGTTGGACCCACGGCTGCCCGCTATAGATGGTGGTCGTTCGGTCCCATATTTCATGGGTCGGTTCGCCTTGACCCTTAGTGTCCAAATATAGTATTGGTTTCACTGGAAAATGTCCCGAAACTCGTGAATTTCAAGTGAAACATTTTTTCTTCCACACTTTCAATCTCCAATTCGTGGACTTTGGAGCAAGTTCCGATAAAATAGAGGTCAGATTTAGACTTAGGTTGTCGAGGCGAAGCGACCCATGAAATTTAAGACCAAATGGCCACCATTTACGACAATCGACGACAACAGGTGGTGGCGTCTGACCACCTTGTTTATTTTATATTTTAAGTTATTTTATATTAAATAATAATAAAAATACCACATCATATAAAAATAATAATAAAATAATTCAGTGTGATCAAAATAGGGGAAATTCGAAGGTTCAGTGAGTAGATTAGATAAATTAAAAGTATAGTGAGTAAAATAGGAGAAAGAGAGTAAAGGTGAGTGAGCAATTCGGAATGCTGAGGGTGTTTGGACTGGTGGTTTTGCGAGGAATAATTGAGCCTGTTCTATGCTTGAGGCTGAGCTGTGGGGTGTGTTGGATGGGTTGATGCTGGCGTAGGACTGTGGGTTGAGTGAGGTTATCGTCGAGCTGGACTATAGAGACGCTTGGCGGGTGCTTCAGAAAGGTGCAACCATGGAGAGGTTATCATCGTTGGTTCCGCATTTGCTGGAGTGCATGGCTCGTGGCTAGAAATTGCAATTTGTACATGTCGTTCGGGAAGGTAAAGTGGCAGATCACATGGCGAAGCTTGCTTGGGGATGGCAGCATGGTTTGAAGGTCTTCGAGTCTCCACCGGCAGAGGTTCTAGCTATCATGCAGGACGAGTATCGGGTTGAGGTTTAGTTGTTGAGCATCTCTCTTCATTCAAAAAAAGAAAAATCAATATATATCATGCATGTCAAATTTTGAGTGAATTAGAAATATGTATCTATTAACGTTATCTAAATGTTTTTACAATATTGATATATAATGGTAAAGATAACTTTAGATCAATAAGTTAAAGAATAGATTGAATTTAAAAAAAGATTACAACTATAATAAATACAAACATTGATAAATTCTTAAAATATTAGAATGGGTTTGGAACGTGTAATTTTGTTTGAGTGTAATTACACAATTCTATTGTATTTGGAAAACCATGGTAATTGGTTTGTTAGAGAAATGTGAGAACTGATGTAATTATGCATACATTACACCCTTCATTTTTATAACTAATATTATTTTAAAATGTAAAGTTCTATAATTATTCAATATAGTTTTTATTACCAAACATGACATTGAAAATTATAAAAAAATTACCATTTTTGTTATTTAAATATGTCGAATTAGAATTTATGTATTTACACTTATAATTATTATGATATATATTATGGTGTCCAAAAGTTCCCTTACTCATAAAAATAAAACTTAGGAAATGTGTGAAGGTGCACTTATTTTAATGAAAATGTGTAACCCCAAAAAAATTTTGACAGTCAAATTATTATTAATGTTGAAATAATTTCTTCAGTCTAACCCATTTACATTCAGTGACTAAATTTATATACAATTCAGATAACTAAAAGTAGTTAGCCTCCTAACTAGGTATCGAATCTGTAGTAATTAATTCATATCTACCAACTGCTGCCTCTTAACACTCCTTCTCAAGTTGGAGGGTGAAAAAAAACGTTTTTAACCCCTAACTTGAACACAAGATAACTTTGATGTTGAATGTTTAAATACTTTGTGAAAATATATGTCATTTGTTCTGTTGAATAACAAATTTAGTGTTGATAAGACCCTCTTCAGTCTTCTTTTTGACAAAGTGACAATCTATCTCAATGTGCTTCGTCCGTTCATGATAAACAAGATTTACTGCTATTTGTAAAGCAGATTTACTGTCACAATATAGCCTCATTGGTTGACTCCTTTTTAACTCCAAGTTCTTCTAACAGACCATTCAGCCAAACCAACTTTGTTACAGTCACAACTATGGTCTTATACTCTACTTCTGCAGAGGACTTCGCCACTACTGGTTGCTTCTTTGACTTTCATGAAATCAACGAGTTCCCAATCTTGTTGCAAAAACTAAAACCCTACTTTTTTGTAACATGAAATCATGGCTACTATAACCATCAAACATTATACCCTGCACTGGCCTCTGTTTAGTATACCTTACTATTCTCAAAGTACCATTCAAATGGGACTTCTTAGACTTCTACATGAATAGACTAAATAATAGAACCACTCCTAAATGGTCCCGAAGTATCAATTTCTAAATGTCAGATTAGATTTGTTAGTTATCGAATCTTTTTAATAAGAATCTCATTTTTGGACTTAAATCAATTTACAGAAGTTTTGTGACCTTCTTTCTGTTAATTACTAAGTTGCTTCAGAAAATAAATTTATCCTCTAGTGTGTTACCTATGCACATGGATATTTTCTTTGATTTTAAAAGTATGACTTTATTATCAGAAATAAAAACACGATCTCTGATCTCTATTTCTTGATACAAAATATATCTGGCTCACAATTTCTCATGTTACTGTTTATTATTTAATATGATTTATATTGTGGTACTATCTAGGGTCTATTATGGATTCTTTACAAGTTCAACTTCAATCAAGCTAGTAATTACTTATGGACTTGAGGTAACTCTTAGGTTGGTTCATACGCCCAATGAGCTTAGGATAAGTCATTATGGATGTAGTACTAGGGAACTACATATCCATAATTTATGATCACATCATTGTTCTTCCGGCTAAGTAAATCACCAACCACATTAGCCTTTCCTGGACGATAATTTATGATCACATCATAGTCCTTGAGTAGCTCAATCCATATCCTTTCCTTAAGTTCAACTCCTTTTGAGTCAGCAAGTACTTTAGACTCTTGTGATCGGTGTATATATAACACCGTTCACCATACAAATAGTGTCGCCATATCTTTAATGTAAATACCATTGCTGCCAACTCAAGATCATGTTTCGGGTAATTCCTTTCATGCGGCTTGAGCTGTCTCGAGGCATTTGCTACCACTTTTCCATCTTGCATTAGAATGCACCCCAAACCATTATGAGACGCGCCACTATACACCACATAGTCCTTGCCCGATTCCAGTTGTACCAGTACTGGAGCCTTTGTCAAAACCTTCTTCA